CTGCGATAGAAGATTAGCACAGCCATGGATAGATGCTAACTGGTGTTGGGATTCCAAAATATGGGAAAGAATATCAGTACAGGAGACAACAGGGCAGGGATAAGAAAAGACTGAAAAGTCCTCCTGACGAATGGAACCTGAGAAATCATATCCAAAAAGGCTGAGTTATGCCTGGCAGATTCTGCAGGAGAAATTTGGAAAGGCATGACATATTTTTAGTAGGAAAAAGGCTGTCAAAATCCTTCTTTTCATGACCAGGTTTGGAAAATTTAGGAGGAACCCAAACAATGTTGGGAGAAGAAGCTCGACTCATATAACAATCAATCCCCAACAATTAATAGCCACAAAATCCTCAGGTGAGACCCCTGACCTGAAGCCTGTATAATGGTTATAACACAAACTTTGTAATTCATCATTAACTGTAAAGAATTTGAAAATTAGAAGAAAAAGTTAATAAACAAAGGTAATTTATTGTGGCAAAATACTATAGAAAAAGAACTGTAACAAATGAATAACTAAAGTAAATCACTACTATGTGAAAAAAAAAACATGTGAAGAGAGCACAATTGAAAAAAGTCTGCACTAGACCATTGCCTAATGAGAAGTGATAGCTCAGCGGAATCAACTACAGGGAGTCACATGCATCAGAAGAGTGTGCTGCACTCCTATTAGTGGAGGGTTGTTGGATGATGATTTACTTATAAGATAGAGTGAACCAAGTTGATTGTAGGATATCAGGGAGCTCAAGGCTTGTGGCATGCACTGAATGAGAATAGTTATACATGTGAGGGAAGAGAAGGTACCATATCAGAACTGGTCATCATTCACACCTTACTTCTTTCGCTGGTCACAGACAACCTTGACCTATACTTGGACTAGTCTGTGTATACTTAGATATTCCAATAGAGAAAACCATAGTTGTCTTGGGACATACAAATTAGTTGTTGTGATTATGATTTATAATTACCACTTTATAATCTTTCATACAGGATATAACCAGTAAAAGTGAAGCTGTATCAGCCAAGGTTTTTCCTAGCTGCCCTTCAACCTCTCAGATTTCAGCACAAGAATATATACTTACTACTGCTACACATTCAGATTATGTCATCACCTAAACAACAATTTCACTCCACAGTATGTTTTACATGGTGTCAGAAAAAGCCCTTCTAAGATCACAGTTAAAAATCTTTACAAGGAGTCAAACAGAACAAAGTGTCACACTCAAAGTAAACAAATCTTTGGTCATGGCACTAAATTTGAACTTCAATAACCTACTTTGTGGTATTCACACAGGTAAAACTGAAGCCAATGAGTGCATATTAAGCTCCACAAAACAGATTTGGAGAAGTATTGGAAATAATAATATAAACTAAGGCAGACAACAACAAAAAGTGAACCAAACAGTTAGGTAACACAAGACAAAATCTATATTGTAAATGAACAAGACTTGTTGGGCTTATTTAATACTGGCTGACTTGTATGTTACCAAAAACTAAATTGCTGCTGGAGAAGAGTGGAATAAGATTTCTGCACTCGATGAACACAGAATAATTTCTGTTTATACTATATGTAAGTGTAGGCTTAGCACAGTAACCCACAATTCTAATTTATCTGCATCAGTGAACACGTTTTTTGTGACAAGTGGATGTAAGTCAGAAACCCTCAAACTCACAGCCAAAGCTAAACACTAGGCCATGCCTGACCCAATTTTCTACCTATATAAGAATAAAATGAGTAATTATCAAATACTACAGTATTACATTTTGAGAAATAAAGGTTCTAAAATACAGCATATTTCAGTTTTAGGAAGCTTTGAAAATATCAAAAATAGAGTTGTTTTCTAAGATGTATACAGTGCATTTAATCAAACAAGCATTTATTTTTTTAAATAATCTAAAATAAAATAATTATGACAACTGTGTCTCTTAATGGTTGTATTAAAAACAAAACAATAAAGTGAAACAGTGGGAGATTATGTTAACCCTATAGACTTTGGAGGGTCAAAGTGCACATTTCACAACCTTTTCTCACAGAGTTATCTTCAAAATTTCAATAAGCTACTTTACCATCAAATGTCTATATTATCTAAATTTTAATTTCTTAATTTCTAAAGAAAATATTTAAATAAATTTTCAATCTGCACCTCTTAGTCACCTGACATGGTGTGCACTGGCTTTTCATTTATAAAACTCACATTGACACACCACTTTCATATTCTGTCTTTTAAGAAATGTCTATAATTCTCTCTGACATTACTAATGGCCATATTTATAACTAATAAAAAAAATATATTATAAATATTTGTAATTTTCTGTTACAATCCACAGTCATTCTAGAAACAAAAGTCCATACATATAGGTTGTTAACGCACAAAACATAACAGTAAATATGTGGTTTTAAGATGTTTTTTGCTCACTTTTAACTCAAATAAATTGAAAATAATGATATTTTAAAGTAGATGGTAATAAACTTGTAAAATTCAACTAACTATACTTTTTGCATTACAACACAATCAAAAATACATTGTCTGAAAGTTGAGATTATTTTCTGTAGAGTCTTCTTTCTCCCTTATATGGATTGTAAATATCTATACATTATTTATTACAAAGAATTAACTTTTCTTTGATCAGTTGCTTTCAAATAATCCAGTTTTATCAAGGTTTTTCTATATCTTGTATAAAGGAAATAAATTAATTATATTGTTCCTATTCTTGTTTGTTTTGTTAAAGTAATGACTTTTGCACTTGTTTTTTGCTTTACAAAAACTCCCATTGGTATTTAAATAGTCTTATGGTTTGCCACCAGCATAAGCTAAAAGAATAGTGAAGGCACTTTTTGAAATAGGTGTACAAAATTTCTAAAAGGTGTACAGAGTTAAGCTTTATAAAAAAAATATAGGAAAATATATAGTAGCTATTTATATTAGTTTTAACAATATATAAAATATTTTATTACAAGATTTCTTTTCATGATGTAAGCTGTGTGATATCATAAACTTGTAATTTATGTTTTTATTTAAAACCTGTGTATGTTTGTTGGAATAAAATAGATTAAAAACAAATAACATGTCTATGCAATAATATAAAAATTGGCCTAAACGTTGAATACAAACTTCTCTTTACAAAATAGCTGCTTATTTTTTGAAAGATACAACATAATGCAAAAACAAAAGCAAACTTTCAATAAATTTTGAGTGTAGAACCTATAGTATGTAGAACAAACAAAGGTGTTTTTACCTGGTTCGTAGTTCATCAATTAGTGGCATATTGAGGGCCAAACTAAAGGGTTAAATGGGTGCAACTGACTCAGGCACCCTGAATCAAAGAGACCCTGACTAATAAAAACTAAGCAAAAATAATAATAAATATGGATGATTCATTAAAAAACATATGGTTGGAACTCTGTCACCATGATAACAGTGATTTTAGTCATTTCATATAAACCTATTTCTTTGTAATTTTTCAATGATGTGTTCTGACAGCTTATTCCTTAACTAACTTTTCCTCTTCCATTTAAAAAATATTTCATTGTCATTAACTTATATTTATTATAAAAATTATTTATAATTACTTTATATTCATTATAAATATATTAAATAGTACTTTGTATATTATCTACCCATTGCAAACTTGTTTGTGTATTGTTCAAACTTTAGTTATCAAACATTATTTAATTGTATTTGACGTACTGGTACAGCATACAACTATATCACATAGTGGTTTTTGTTTTATTACAGATATTAAATTTATAAAAAAAGTTTATGTGGTAAACAATATTGAATGGTTACCACACTTTATAATTCATTAAGTGGAATTCATAAGTCACTGATTTTTATCAATGCAAATACAGATATGGCACTAAACTGACTCTAGGTTGTAAAGAGTTAAGGAACATGCAATTATACGCTTATAATCTTTCATATTTACTATTTTTGTTTTATTTCTTAAAAGAATTACTATTCACAGATTTAGTGAACCAACAAAATGTTTGTTCCTTGAACTACTGTTACTGAACAAATTTTCTTTAAATGTTGCAGGTGAATCAAGCTCATGGAAAGTTTCAATTATAATTTTTTTACTATATTTTATACAATGAGAGTAGGGAAAAATGTTTCACAGGAGTATTTACTAACTGTGAGTTTTATGGCTACAAAATCAATATATCTATAAATAAAAATAGCATATCCTTAAAGGAAGAGGCATCATTTTTAAAAAATGCTGGAGGCGGGATAAGGTGATGCATGGGTGTGTCAGTACATAAATATTCTACGTATTTCTTTTAAACATTTGTAAAGAAAACTGATTGTCTTATATGTGATTATATCCTACCCTGATAAGTTGAGGGGAAATAACTTTCCCTTTGCCCCCTAGAAAATGACACCCTTTATTAGTGGATTAGTGCTAAACAAAGAAGTTAAAAAATGCAGCTGCTTAACTGCGTATGGTTGAATTCTTTCAAAATAGTCGCAGTACAGTGTTTTGGCTATGCTATGTCCACATATTCCCACCATACTACATCTCTGCCCTTTAGTTAAATGCTTAAGTACACTCAAACTTGATAATGCTCCAGTAACATTGATAAAACATTTGTGTCAAAAGAACATCTTTACTTTTACTGAAACTATTTTTTTTGTATTTAAAAGGTAACACAGAATTAGAACAATAATTAAATTCAAGTTTAGTTGTAGACAAAAGTTTTATATTGTAATATGCTAACCTCTAATAAGCTTAAAATATATTTAAAACACAGAATAATAAAATTGACATTTGAATTTTAACATCTCACTTGCTAACAAGTTACATTTTAGTACATATTACTGAATAACAAACTGAGATTTTTCATCTAATATATTCAGCAGCATTCAAGTATTCTTTAACAAATAACAGATTCAATGTACAAAAAATAATTTCCGGAATCACAAGATTATTCTCTCTTCATAAAGTGTATTAGTTCATAACTCTTTTATAAATAACATAATGAATCAAGAATAATGAACTTACTGAAATCGAAGGTACAAATTATTCCTTCCACTTTATAATCTATGTGAAGTTGGCAGATTGGACAAAAATAAGGTACTGAAGGACAGTATGTCAATGGTCTATATGGGTAAGATTTTTGTGGATATGATTCTGGTGGTAGGTAAGAGTCACAGTATTGTAGTTTCTTCTCAATTTTATATTCATTTCCTGAGTTATAATTTATAAGATACACTTGGTTTGTTGTTTTGATCCATGGAACTTTCATGCTCAATAAGATGTATGGACCTGAAAGTAATTAGGATTATCTGACAATTTAAACAAATTTTACTTAACAGTGAAATGTTTATATTTCAATAAAAATACCATTATTTAAATATTAAATATCCAAACCAAACTGAATATCATAGAATTTTCAATCAGTTCTTCCTTTATTAAATTTACAAAATAATTCCTATCTCAAATATAAAACATATTGTGATAAAATATTTAAAACTTCACACCATACTGATAAATGTTCAGAAAAGCAAAATTTAATATATTCCTACAATGAAAATATATTTCAAATAGATATTTACATTCTCTCACTCACAATTACAGCTATACTTGATTTCACTGCCCTCTAGTACGCAGATTTTTCTCTTGCCACTAACCTTAAAACTCCCATCTAATTCCACATGTACATCATGTTTTTCAGCTGCATTTAAGCATGCAAATTAGTATTCGACAGTCCTCCATCAACTGCAGTGCAACAAACCCTCCCATCACAGCTGACTCCTATTATGCAGTTGAATCAAATCTATGCTTTGAAATTAGGCATGAAACAACACTGAAACTGAGAACAGGTGACAAGTGTGAAAAGAGAAAAGTATCTATTGGAAATATATGTTCAGCATAGGAAAATATTAACTTCTGATATGATCACTTGCCTCTTATCACAGTTACAACTAGAATCCCACATTGAGCAGGTGAAGGGACTGGTGTAAACTTACCTAGATAAGCACCCTTAAAAAGCATCTGAAGAGCACTCATGGAGAATACCATTTCTATGGAGAGAGAAAACACACCCATGGGAGACTGCACCACATCTAACCAAGTATACTCTTCACCCACGTGGATCCAAAAGGTGTGGTGTTGCAATCAAAAGCCAGAACAATGTAACAATTCCAAATCACTAAGGAAGAGAAATGAGTACAGGGTGGCTAGGGTGCATCAGACTATAAGGAGGAAATTGACTAGCCCATGACAGGGGGAGGCTCCTCAACCATTCACCTCAGGTTGAAGAACCAGAAGGGAAAAAGAGCTTCCATTCCAAGAACCTAAGCCATTATGTGTGCAAATCCAGCACAACCTTCAGCAATAAACTCCAGGAATGTACATCTGGATGACATCAGGAAGGCAGAAATGCAACATGGAGGATCATTTCTAGCCCAAACCAACCAGCACTGGTGATGCAACAACCAGTCTGCATCAGAAGAAAGTTCTCAGCCTACTCACATGTGAAGACATATGTTGCCTAGTTCAGCTCCAACCAAAACTGATATCCAGGCAGCAGTAGGAAGGAGGGTTCCCAGCTAGAGAGGCAAACTGAAAATAAACGGAAAAATCCATTCTAGAAAAGTGGCATTTGGAATAAAACATCAGACAAGAGGATAATCATGCCCTCTACAGAAGCAGAATGCCAGGGCCCTACTCTCAACTGAGTTGAATTGTACACACTCAGGAGGATTCTCCCCATGACCTACCACCAAAGTGGCTAGGAGCTGGCAAGTGGTAAGGATTCTCATACTCCATTGGAAAAAATGGGGGTGGGGGGAGAAATGCATACGAAAGTTAGGAGGAATGCATCACCACAGAAATTGCAATAGGTGACCATGAAACCATATTTTGAAAAGTAGATAGTTCCCAATTTGGCTATCTAAGGAATGTTAGAGATGGGCAGCAATCACTTTCTGCTTTACTCATGTTAGTCCATGAGTGTACTGTCCAGTAGAAACATATTCATGATGCAAAGTACTGTGAGGAAGAATCTTCAAGCAGTCTTGGTGCCCTGAAAAACTTAGGGAGAAATTAAATAAAAATAACTTACCCACTCAGAGTTGTACTGATGTATGTAGAATGGCTACAATTGAGCAAGAAACCACTACATGGTGCAATTAGTGTGACACAAAGGTGTGGGAAGTGGTCCACATGCCAGTCTGGACAATCTCCTCCAAAGAATGATGGAAATGAGCAGCCAAGAGCATTATGAGGTGATAGATCTGATGGGACAATACACAAAACAATTGGCAAGATTCTGGAGAAAGAAAGGAATATACAATATGGATAAGCCCAATCAGTAAGGGTGATAGGAAAAATATCACAAGAAATGGACAGATTCCAATAGATAAATAAATGGGAGCAAGAGCCATGGAAGGATGCTGTGCGAGACACATATAACCATAAATCATGGACAAGAAACAGGAAATGATCTCGATCAGAACAGGAGTAAATATGGGATATGGAAGGAAGGGAAATAGGGGTGAAGGCCAAATCGCCTTCATGAGCAGCTGATGTTTTGGGAAGGAATGGTCAAAACATAAAAGGACATAGGTTTTGTGGTACAAAATGCAGTGAATGGTGATGGCAAACATGTCTGACCGGCAATGTCCACAAGCCAAAAGGAGAAGGAAATACGTCTTCAAGAAAAGGTGATATAAAAAACATGAGGCTAGCAGTTAAAGGGAAGAAGGGAAAAGGCATGGAGAACAACAGTTTGATTCCAATCTGTCAAATGAGTGGTATCAGAGGGATAATGACAATACATAGACTGAAACAAAAGGGATATAACTGGAGAGAAAACAGATGAGAAAAATGAAAGATAAATGACAGAGCCACCCTATAACATGCATTGAAATGGACAGTTTCTTATCAAAGAACCATATAGAAAAATCAGATATCTGAGAAAGGGGAGAATCCATACCAGATACACAAACAATGGAATATTCTCCACCTATGTTGACACACAGACATGGATGAGAAATGGACAGAGTGAGACAACATGAATGCTACATGTGTGGATAGCCCTAGATCCCTCACAAGGGATGGACAAAAAACCATGCATGAAGCCAGAGTATGACAATGGAGGAATGAGGCAATCATGAGTGAGGTTTCCAGAGGAGGGAACCAGTGGAGAGGGAGAGATAATAGAGGTTGTTCTTGGAGAAGGGACAGAAACTATGGTTGAGCCAGCCAGAAAGGCTCCACAAGAAGAACTAGACATGGATTGGATTGGATGAGAGAAATTATTCAGGGTGCAAGATGGATGGGAAGGTATGCACAAAGGAAAAGGTTCTTCCAATCCTGGCTGAATGCATACATGGAACTGTGGACTAAAAGAGAGGAAGATTGGTATTCAAATGAGTGGCAAATGCATCCAGTTGGGGTGTATCTAATTGAGAACATAGCCATCAAAATAACTGGGAGTTAATAGAATCTTGTCCAGATGGGATAGATGATCCATGATGAGACTGAGGGCACCCAGTATATGATAAGCCAGCAAACGAATTTGATGGCTGTGAAACCAAAAGAGGAGATCGAGAGTGCAGGAACATAAGGACCAGGATTAAGTGTCCCCTTGTGTGGTGACATAAGACACAACCATAAAGTTTTCACAATGAAATATAACTGTCATGCCCCACAGAGATGACAGAAAATGAACCATCTGCCAATGAACAGCAAGGAGTTCCAAAAGACTGATGTGAAGATCTAACTCCTGCTGAGACCATTGGCCGAGATATCCCATGTATTGCAGCATGCACCCCCATCTTTGAAGACATGGATATCCAGATGGGAAGTAGGAATAGGTACCCTCACTGTCATGTTGTCTCTGTCTAACCACCAGAGAAAGTTGGACTGAAAGAAAGCAGGAAGGGATATCTGTAAATCAAGAGGGTCCCTGATGAGGTGCCACTGATCTTGTAATACCCACTGCAAAGAATGCATGTGTGCACAGCCCAGAGGGATAAAAGCCTCCATTGATGCTCAATTCCCCAAAAGTGACAGAACTTCTTGCACGGGGAGAGAAGGTGCTGATAGTGCCCTCTGAATTAAAAACTTCATGACTCACATACAAAGAAGAAAAAGCTGGGCTAGACTGAGATGTGAGGTGAAAAACACCCACAGATAAACAAAAGATTGGGTGGGGTGCAAAACAGACTTCTCCACCTTGATAATTCAACCCACCCAAACAGGCTTTCTTAGAAGAAGTTGAGTGTGTGAGAAAGACTCTGTAAAGGATGGAGCTAGGAGAAATTGAGCCTGTAAGAATGTAGGAATTCGGCAAACCACCAGACAATCCAACAGAAAACATTGGGTGCCAATGCCAACCCTAAAGGAAGAGTTCAAATTGATAAATGTGATCCTTTTGGATGAAACATAGATAATGACATGAAGTCCAAGCAACAGGTAAATGAAGATAAGCATTGGATACATCAAATCTTGTCATCCAAAGCCCTGGAAGAAAGGCCCATTTGAGAGACAGGTAGAATTCCATGATGAACTGAGGCATGTTAAGGAAGTGATTCAGATAGAGAAATTGATAATACGATGTCAATCCATGGAATCATGGAAGCACAGGAAAAACTTATTCGATGGTGCCCTTGATGAAAAGGTCTTGAACTGCTTCTGTAAGCTGCTGGTGGGAAACAGGTTTTGGAGTGGAACTAGGATATGGGGTAAGGTGAGAAGAAAAGTGGAGAGTCTTGACAAAACTCGAATGACCCAAGGGTTGTTGGTAAAAGTCTCCCAGGTCTTGCATAAACAGGCGAGCCATAGGGTAGTCACCAGTACTGCTGATGTCATACAGGGCATAACTGAACAATGGTAAAAAGGAAAGAGTAACTGGTAAAGGAGAGGATGGAGGAGGATGGGAAATGAGAACTGGAGGAGGAGGAGACTGGGGCAAACATAAAGTAAGGAAAGATAGGAAAGTGTGCAACCTGGCAGATTCAACATGAGGCTCCAAGGTGTCCAGGAAGCCCATCAAAGACCATAGATCTCAGAAAAGCAGCTGATCAAAGATCTTGCAAAGAAATTGGGGGAGATGCATATGTGTATCAACAAAGCATCCCAACCCAAGAGATCTCAGCAACACAGGAGCCAAGTGTGGAGGGACAAGGGCAGATGAAGACAATATGGACAAGGTGGTAAGTAGAAGGGTACGGGCTTCCAACAAAAAAATCATCTGGAGAATGACGAAAAGTCTAGGACTACACGTGAATGAATGACATATAATGAAAGAATGTTGTGAGGGATAAAAGGAAGCAAGTAAATTGTGCCTGAGAAAATTGCGCCAGAATATCAGGGTTCAAACCCCAGAGGGGAAAAAGTAAATCCAATTGTTAGTCATTGAGAAAAGGATATGCTGAACAATGATATGTGAGTGCATGAGCCTCTGCAGTAGGTGGAGGTATGGAATACTTACCCCACACATAATTGATCTCCAAAACATTTAGCATGGATCCCAATATCAGGCAAATAAATACTCAAAACTATGTGATTCAGTTAATTTGAAAAGGGAGGGATCAAATGTCATGGGTGACAAAGACAAAACATTAAATATCTGTGACATCAAGTCAAAAAATGGTGAAAGATGTCTAGGTGCTTCAACAGGCTGAGAACATGCTTGCACAGCAAAGGAATGGGGGAAGGCTGTCCAAATCAACATAGTCCTGATCGAAATCCTCAGGTAAAGGCAGAACTGCGTGTAGATCAGGAGATCCCTTGGCCCACATGAAAGAAGCCATTTCCTGACAGACTATGGCCGACACTTCCTCTGCCAATAATGCTGCACCTCCTGCCATTGGCATGGGCAGTTGATCACCAGTACCAACTCTAGCTGTAATACAATTTCAAATTGTGAACTTATAAATATTGACTGACTACCAGTAATTGAGTGGGGAATAGAATTCACAATCAAATAAAGAAATCTAACTTGGTTTGGGATTACAAACAATACTTTGAAATGCAAAATGAGCCACTGAACATTATCAAAATTCACTAAAGAAGAAAACAAGTTTGAAATAAGCACTGGGTGTTAACACTGTAGTGCCAAATCAAGAAGTGAAGATTTGGTTCAACTGCATAGAGGGAATCAGCTGCAATAGAAGGGTTTGTCAAACTCCTATTGGTTGAGAACTGTCATATGCTAATTTGCATGCTTAAATGCAGCTATATCATGTGGTTCAGCTGCATTTAAGCAAGCAAATTAGCATCTAACAGTCATCAACCAATAGGAGTTTGACAAACCTTCATATCGTAGTTAGAATTAGGTGGGAGTTTCAATGCTAGTGGTAAGAGAAAAATATGTGCACAAGAGGGCAGTGTAATCGAAAATAGTTGTAACTGAGAGAAGAGGTAAATAAATTTATCAGCATTATCTCTAGATTGCTGTTTATTTAAGAACTTAATCTCACGAAACATATTATTTTATATTAAAATAAATGGATTTAAAACTGTAATGGCTGATTGGCATAACTTTCATAATAAATTAACAAAAGGGAAACTGGGGGCAGGAAGACCAAGTATGATGAAAAATAATGCTCATCCCTAAAGTACATTAATTGACTAAATGCAATTCACAGAATCTCATTTCATAAGTTTGTCAGAGTTCCTTGTTGACACATATCCAATAAAAACATGTTTAAAGACAATTTGTTAGCTAGTAATTTTTATTTATTTATTTTTAGTTATGATTGTGTTTATCGTTTATCTTCTATCACTTAGTTCAGCTATATTTTTATTTACTTCAAATGCTAGCTTACCTGTCTCTTTAAATATTATTTGAGGAATTTTCATATTAAGACACCAATACAAGGTTTCCCAGTGGTAAGATATGGATATTATGTTTGATTATGTAAAACAAATTAAGTAGTTAGTCATGTGACAAGTGATCTTGCAGTATAGCAAGGAAATGAAAGCCTTAAGATTTAAACTTAGATAGACAAGACAATAAAGAGATATTAGTTTAGAATCTGTATGTTAGATATACAAGACTGTTTAGTGTAAGTGTTATTATTTGGTTTATTTTGTGACTTAATATTTAATGATCGTTTAGTTTTAAGACAGGAGTGTTGAAGATATATTGTTTTAAAAGTGTTAGTTGTGATAATTTTCATTACGTAACTCTGTAAGACTCATATGTTGTGTGTGTGTGGTTCAACTGTTGTAGTATTGTTGACAACAAGTTACTCAAGTCTTCAGTATTTCAGAAGTGAGTTTCAGAAATTAATAGAGATAAGGAGAATAATTTGTCTTGTATTGTTTTTAATAAATCTCTAATTTTTCATACTCTGATAGTAATTTAGTTGATTTCATACATTCCATTCCTAATTTTGTTATTTCATACATTACAGTTCAACATTTCACTAAGATACAACAAAGATAAAAAGATGATGTCATTTTTTGGTACACTAGCAACTGCTTACATTTCCTAAGTGTGTTAACTAGCAATGCATGTTATCAGCAACACAATTTTTTATTTACTTACCTTGAACTGTTTTTAAAATTGAAAGGGTACACTAGATTCAAGAATTATTTATAGTTTTAAAGAAATTATTAAAAAAATTATGTTCAAAAATCATAGTCAATTACTGCATAGTTTATCTGTGTAAATCTACATCAGGTCCAATGGTTAGTTTTCATAACTTTCCTTAAGTTTGTGATTGTTCTGTCATTGGGAAAGATAATATTCATTTGGGCGAGTATTTAGTGTTTTTTTTATATACCAAGAATACATTGTTGATAACACAGATTTGGACATTAAAATTTGATGTCCACTTCTAAAATAAGCTTATTAAATAATCACTTTGTTATCCACCTATACTAATTATCTTAATTCAAATTAAAACAATTTCATTCAAATGATTTTTTATTTATCCTTCTAAAAGTTTGGTCCCAGTGACTTCATTAAACATAAGATATACAGTGTATGGAAGACCAAACATTAGGTCTGTAATTTGTTGGCAATGATAATCTCTTCAGCTTCCACAACTACTTCCCGATCATTCACCACAACTAGCTTGAACATATACAACTGAAATTATGTTTTGTTTCCATTATCTTTACTTTCTGAATGTTCTGATGATTCCCTTTCACCATCTTTTTTGTCTTACGCATCAAAACTTCACTAATATCATCATTACTATATACACAAACTTTAGATACTTTGTTTACCTTCTGATGCCAGTATTTCTCAACAGATTGCTCTTTAGTCAGTTTTAGTTAAAAGTTGCAAGAGCATTTAAATCACTTGATTTACACCCATTTCAAATACTTTTTTCATCTTATGAAGAAATATATTAAACAATTGTTCCAATAACAATTTGTTATGCAAGTAGTACTTTCTAACTAGATATGGTTAAAACACCATCTCAAAAAAGTGAGATGTGTTTGAATTTCATTTGATCTCAGGTTTTACTTTTCAACAAATATTTACTACAAGTAAATTTCTTTGTATGAATAAAACAAAATCAGCTTTCAACAAAAGTATGATTGTTATTGATAAGAACTTTAAACTTATCCTCTATAATTATAAAAATTCCAAGTACCTCTAATAGACTCTTACCGACTTTAAGTTGGTCACAATAACAGCCCTTCTTCACATTGTATCTGATGTTGTATGCAATGTCATACTCTGTGCCTTTCAATAACTTTGTAACCACAAATTGACCACATGTGTCTTCATCACCTGGAAACAATAAACTTCTATAATTGTCAATTTTTAAATACAACACACAAGTTAATAGTATACACATTTTAAGGGATACACAGAATGTTTAAAATACACATATACATTTATCACAATAACTAGTAGGTGAAATTGAATTGACAGAAAATAAATATAGGTATGCAAAAATATTACACATTACAATAATAAAGATTTACATTCAGAAAAAGACTTGTAGTTTTCCTACTTAAAAATTATTCTTCATTCAAATTTATCCACATATAAACCTTATGACTGAATAAAGTGAAACTCCTAGCTCAAACTTCTTATGTTACTTATAACTTTAAATTGTTCAAGTATGCTATGAAAACTTCCAAAGATACTTTTATATATATATAGGAAAAATAAATTTAAATAAATCCCATGTTCCCAATGCAAATAATTGCCTATTACCTGTTAATAAACATGTTAATAACTGTATTATGAAAATGGTTTTCAAATGAGACCCAAAACTCAAGCACTTTCACTATTCTTTTTCTCTTTATTCTCTTGAAGAAAAATAGTGAATTATTCGAAAACACTCGAGTTTTGGGTCTCGTTTGGAAACCATTACAACTTTTGTATGTGATCCTTTGTGCTAATTTCTTAATCAGAATGTATTATAGAAAAATATCCTACTTTACAAGAACCTTTTTCAAATATTTCCATTTTGGTATTCTTGTTATGATAAATTTAAAACTTTAAATGTTACATAGTTTAATACATGTATAAAGCTTTATGTTAATAAAAATGGGAAGGTTTTCCATTGTTATGTAGATTTAATCAGAAAGTGTCTTACTTTAGAAACTGAAGAGTATCTTTGAAAATAAAACCAGTATTTGCATTTTATATATGTTTTTAAATGTTTTAAATTTATACTAATAAAGTTTTAAAATATTATAAACATTTAACTTTGTTTCATTTTATGAATCATTTCCCTGAGAAAATATATTTCCAAGAGCTACTTACCTCCCCTTACATAATAGATTTTCTCAACTTGTGCTGCCCTCTATATGCAGAATGCTTGCTACTAGACTTGATGCTCCCACCTTCAGAAGGAAACCAAAGAGAACCCATGGAGTGTGATACCATAACATATGGGATCACTGTTGTGGGAGACCACACCCCATCTGTACCAGGTATATTCTTCACCCATTTTAAAGATATGTGTCGCTAAATAAGGCAGAATATCAAGTTGAATATTCAGCACTTGATCGTGGGTACTCCAGTTTCCCCCACATTTAAATTAACATGGGCTTTGGAACTCTGGTCCCTGCCCTCTGAAAAGGGTCATTTACTTATCAGTTTATCAGATGTATCTAATAGCAAACAAAAGAGATTGGAAAGAGATTCCCAGAGATTGGAAAAGTTTAAGTTAATCTATGAATCTAAATTATTTCATGGATTTTAAAAAGGTTAATTGAGTTGCACTCTTGGTTTAACTCAGAGCCAGAGCTCTGAGCTACTTATACTGCCCATCACAAATTAGTAATTGTTCAACATTTCAGTCATGCTAAGAGCTGCTCACCAATAACATACGGTAAATCTACATTTTAATTCTTTATGTTATGTCACAATTTGAAATGTGGATGATAATGTGATTAATTCCAAACAACTGTAGGATATCCTGCTTGCTAAATAAAATTTCATGCCTGTTCTCCTGTCATTTCAAAGTGAATGTTGAGCTTTGCCTGCCTGTGCAGCTTTTCAAATGGGAGACAGACACCATGGTTTGCAATATACAAGATTTTATCCATATCCTAAAATTGAGTCCAAACTTTCTTTTATATCGGTTCCTATGACCTACTCTTGGATTCTTATTCAGTTATTAATATTCAAAATTTTAAATATTTGCTTCAACAATGGTGTGCTTGGTTCTCCTTCTCTATCTACAACCACAACTGATGTCACAACCACGTGATATAAACATCTCCACATGTGCTTTGCAGCCTATGTGACCAGAGGCCTCTCTCTTCACGACTTTTCTGACTGATGCTCCACACAAGAAAGTACTCTCCTTTTGCCAACTTTGCACACTTCAGCAACTCAGCTTCATTCATTCTTTCACAGAATATTCGTGCTCATGCTGAAATTACTACAAATACACCTCATGCGTGGTGAAAAGAGACTAGTCTCTGACCATCCTGGTTATTTTTCAAGCCTCAACTTCTTTGGGACTTGATAGACCTCAAACCAAAATTCCTACCACTGGGTCAAGTCCAGTCCAAAACCATAGAACATTGGGTATTTCTATTAAGGTCTGTGGTGGGAGAAGGGTCTGAACCATCTTCACCTCAAGACGAAAAAGCAGAAGGAAAAACAACTTCTGTTCTGACAACCCAGCCAAAGCACATGTGGGTAGATCCAGGTAACAACCAACATCAGGCCACTCAAAAACCCAACATTCAAGTAATGTTAGAAAAGAAGAATGCAATGTGGTGGGTCAACTTCAGTCCAAAACCTGGTGGTGGTGGGAATATTTTGTCCATTCTGCAGTAGGAGGAGGCCCCCTACCAAAAACATATATGATGACACATGTTGACTAGTCCTGCACCAATCAAACACCAAACCACCTGGGAACTGACATCAAGGCAGCAGAAGAATGGGAAAAAGTCAGCTGGATGGGTGAGCTGCATGTGGTGGATTCATCCAGTCAAAAACCAAGTGGCATCAAAGTTTTTCTTTTGGTCCACAGTAGAAGGAGAGTATTCAACATCTACACCAGCAGAACACCACCACTCTACTGTTTACTGAGTGAAATCAGTCAGGTATTGATAGGAGAAAGCCTCCATAGTCCACCACTTCAACATCTAGGAATTGGTAAGTGGTAAGGACTCTTGTAGTACACTGGGAGAGGGGGGGAACAATGAGTTGGGAAGTCTGGAGGAACACAACACCGTAAGACAGTGCAGTGGGTGACCATAAAAACTGTATTTGAAAAGCAGGCCAGTCCCAGTGTATTAATCTAAGACCAGAGAGATGGGCAGCAATCTCAAAACTGCTTTACTCATGATAGTCCACGAGTCTGGTGTGGGCTTTATGTATGAAGCAAATACCATGAGGCAACCTCCAGCAGTCTTGTGGAACACTCCATCTCTTCAGTGAGCATTACAGACCTGTACAGCTCTATAGTGCAGATTTACATTTAAGTATACCTGGACAGGCACTACTCACACCAGAGTGGGATCCAGGAAAGGAGAAAGGGCCACTGGAAGGGGAATGAATAAAAGGAAGAACTTACCCTTTCAGAGTCGAAATTATGTATGGAGAATGGTGATGGCAAGCAATAGTAAGATGAAGAGATGGTCAAATGATGCAGATAGAGAGCAATAAATATGTGAGGTGTGGTCCAGATGCCAGCCTGTACAATTTCTTCTGACAAATGACAGATGTTGGTAGCCAGCAAAAAGGTGAGATGATGTCTCTGGTGGGAGGAGACTAGGAAAATGCGATGAGAATCCTCAGATAATGATGCATAAGCAAAACGAATACATCCAGTAATGGTGATAGAAGAACTATCATGGGTAGACAAAGTAGTCCATGGTGTAAAAAGATAGGATCAGGATCCATGGAGGGAAGCAGTGCAGGTGAAGGAGTATGGTGATGATGGGATGAAATATGGTGGACTGAGGTTGACATAGAAGTGTAAGAGGTATGGGAGGGGATGACTGAAGGAGGTTAAATATCAGAAACCATGGACGAGCAGGCCAGAATGGGGCAATTAAAAGGACTCAACATGGAGGGGTTGTATAATAGAGAGAACATGGGGAAGAAGATGGATAGGATGATAAGCATAAAGGGAAAGAGTGGTTCAATCTTAACTGAAGTAATCCACCACCAAAGCCAAAGGATGAGGAACTGCAGACCAGAAGAGGGGCAATTTGGTATTGAGATTGGTGTCAAATGCATCTAGAAAAGGACTACCAAACAGGGAGCACTGAAACACTTGAGGAGCAAGAGAGCACTCTGTAGGTAGAACCTTGTCGGGATGAGATAACCGAACCATCTCAAGATTCAGAGCAGAAAGACAAACTTACTGAGACTGGACCCAGAAAAGGAGATCCAATGTTCAAAAGCAAAATGAACGAGAACAGGTGCCCCCTTGTCGACTGATGTAAGAGATAATGGTTGAAGTGTCAGAATGGATTATGATCAAATGACCCCATATTAAAGGTAGAAAATGATCCAAGTTACTAAAAGTTGATGTGGATGAATCAAAAACCAATCCAGCACTTTTTTTGCCATAAACTTAAAAACAACACCACAAACAATATTAATGCTAATATAACATACAATAATAATACAGCATACACTGATGACAAAAAAGCCAACCTATTTGAACACATCTACATCAACACTTTCATCACACCCAGCCACTCTAAATTTTACAGTCAACACTTCAATACTATTAACAACCACATCAACACCAATCACACCATTTTTAACCCATCATTCTCAGTAGACCTATCCATGCTACAAGAACACCATGATTATTACACGCACCCTATCTCTTTTAGAGAAATTAAAATTATTCTCAAAACCCTTAAACTCACTACCCCAGGTGAAGATTACATTAAGAATATGATCATCAAGAACTTTTCTGAAAACATACTAAAGCATCTAGCTGCCTTATACAACATATCCTTATTATCCAGATACCATCTGTCAGTTTGGAAGTCTGCAATAATTAAAGTGATTCCACAAAAAAGATGTGAATCTCTGCCTACCAAGCAGCTATATATCTACAAGTCTTCTGAACACATTATGCAAACTCACATAAAAAGTTATATCTAACAGACTTCTCCACAATTTAGAAAACAACAATATTCTCAGCAATAACCACAACATGAATAAGAAACACAGGTAGGCAACTGATCACACAGTGAGATTAGTTGAATCTATATGCCAAGGTTTTAACCACAATCACTCCACAGTTACAACCTCTTTAGATGTAAAACATGCATTTGCCACAATGCCTTAAA